GCCCCAGCCATGAAGGCGGCGGTGGACCTGACCATCATCAAGACGGAGAAGGTGGACATCGAACTCTTCCCGTCCCCCGGTGAGCCCTGTGGATCCCTTCTCCCCCTTTTCTCGCAGCGAGCGGTGGGGAAATAACTGCCCGGTTGAGGGGGGTTATTTTGGGGGGTGTCTTTGGGAAGGGGACGTGAAACGCACCCTCGAGTTGCAGCGGAGCGGCGCCGCTCTGCCCCGCGGCACCGCTGGGGGACGGCGGGCTTGGCTTCCCGAGCACTTTTAAGACTTTCCTCCCCCCCCCCAACACCCCCCTTTTCTCGCAGCGAGCGGTGGGGAAATAACTGCCCGGTTGAGGGGGGTTATTTTGGGGGGTGTCTTTGGGAAGGGGACGTGAAACGCACCCTCGAGTTGCAGCGGAGCGGCGCCGCTCTGCCCCGCGGCACCGCTGGGGGACGGCGGGCTTGGCTTCCCGAGCACTTTTAAGACTTTCCTCCCCCCCCCCAACACCCCACCCTTCTCCTAAAAAACAACCCGCCGGCTCTCCAGCCTCCTTTCCTCATGCTTCTGGCATCCTTGCGGGGATGTAGGCAGGCACCTCCGGCTGGGAGGCAGCAGAGATGCACTCGGATGGGCTTTTTTTTCCTTTTTCCGAGCTCCTCAGGACGCCCCTGCCCTTTCCCATCCGGCACAAACCCCTTATCTGGGATGTACGACCCCCTCATCCCTCTCTGGGAATGGCTTGTGTGGTCTAAGCACTCCTGGTATTTGGGAAACAAAACTCCAGCGGTGCCTCCTCTCAATTTCCCACCTATAAATCAGCAAAGCTCGCTGATTTTGTTTGATTTTGTTTGATTTTCCTCTGGAGGAAGGGCGCAGGAGCTATCAGGGGAGATAGCAACATGCTACTGTGTGGGGTTTCTTTGGTTTAGCTGCTGCTGGCCGTGGTTTCTGCCTTGATCAGCTGGATGGGGCTTGGAGGGTCTACAAGGGAAAAAAAAACCCCAAAACGTTCTCTTTTTGGGTACAAGGGAAGGGGAAATGTGTCCTGTTGCCTCGTCTCTCCCTGTGCTGAAGTGGAGGTTTGCTGGATTTGGTGCATTCGAGAAAATCAAGTTAAAGTTGTGCATTTCTTTGCCAGTTAGCGAGTTTTTAGGAAAGCCAGGAAGGGGGCTCAGCTCTGCCAGGCGATGCGATTTTGGGCTGTACGTGTGAAATAAAATGACAGCTGAGTGCTGCAGCGCAAAGGGGGCCAGAGCAGCACAGGGCTTGGTGCTTGGATGTAAAATAGATGCTTTTATAGGACCAGTTTGTCTGGAGGGAGCTCCAGTAACTCAGCACACGCTTGGAGGATCTGCCACCCATGGGATCTGCGGTGTCGGATGCGGGAACAGTGTTTTTCTGTGTTGTTGAGGTGTTTGAGCATTGGATCAATGTAACTTTCTTGTGCCTACAGCGGGGACGCGGTGTTTTGCGTTGCTTTAAGGTTCCTTTTCTTCCCTCTGCAAAAGCCTTTTTGCAGCTTATATCGTTTAGAGTTGACCCAAAGTTTAAACTGTAGCTGAAAAACCACTGAAAAGGTAAAAAAGGAGTCGAGCCCCTATCGACTTCAGCCGCAGCCGCTTCTGTTTTGGTGGCGGCACAAATGCCGTGAGCCAGAAAGGTCAGTGTTGTCAATTAGCTGGCTTAACCTCATTTCCCCTCCAACTTTTTGGAGAACGCTGAAACTTTTGTGCTTGGTCGGATTGATGGTGAGAGCTTACGTTTCTGGGATCCAGCAATGGCATGTGTAGGGGATATAACGTCACTCCTGTCCGTTTTGGGCTGCATCTGAGGATTTAACCCCTCTGTGATGACTCCTTCAGCTCCTTGGTTGCTTAATCCGCTGCCAAATGTGGTGCCAAAACAAGCATTGGTCTCGCTGAGAAGGAGCCCAGCCCCTTGTTCAGATGAAAAAGCAGATTTTTCTTCACGGCATCCACAGGGTTAATGTTACAGGCATAGGTTTTCAATTGTGCAAGACCTTTCATGTGCCAGGTGCTCCATGCCCCGTAAAACTGCATCGGCCGCATCATCCCCCTCTCACTCCCCCGAAATCAACCCCCCCCCAAAATCAAACCCCACTCCAGCCCACGTGTGTGGGCAGTGTAAAAGCGACCTGGGATTTGCAGCATGTCCAAAGGGTCTCAAAATAACCCAAAAGCGATGTGAAGTCGGACAAAGCTTCCAAAGCCAAATTCCCCCCCTAATGCTGTTGCCAGCAAGACCGTGTGAGTGGGTCAGGAGCCAAAAATCCATGGTGGGGGGCTTCTCCTTTAAAAGAGGAAAGGGTGTGTTTGGGTCTCCCAAATACTGAGAGATAACGAGGTTTCTTGCTGATGAAGCTGCTGAGTTGCTGCCTCTGAGCTGTCCCACAAGGTACCAGGGGACCGAAGGACCCCAAGCGTTTTGGCGTTTCCCATACGTGCCCTAAGGACAGCTGGGAGCCAGACGCGTTGTTTCCATCGCCTTGTGCGTGGGTGGCATCCCAGGGGCGCAGTTTTATTTGACAAGAGCCTTTCCCTCCGTTTAAGGTTTGGGACAACGCCGGGTCAGGGCTGAAGCGAGATTTCTGCTGTGGTTGCTGCCGAGTAGAGGGAAGTGGATATATTTGGATGTAGGACCTGCCTGCGTCTTCCCCTTCCCAGGTCAATCTTTGCTTTTTGTCCTTTGCTTCCACTTTTAATGCAGGCAAATTTGGATTTAAAGCAGTGCCTTGCTGCAGGGAAATGGCTTTAATGCATCTTCGTTACAATTTTAGGATGGGATCCTTCATCCTTCCCTCTGTCTTGTCTAGAGAGGGCAGGTTTTCAGCCATACCTTTGCTCCCAGATATGCACAGATCCGGGTCACAGCTGGATTTGCTCAGCTGCTTGGGGGTAAAAGCAGTGCCCAGGGACCTGGAACATCCTTTCCAAAAAGGAAAGTTTGATCCCGCGTTATCCTTACACAGGTTGGTCCCTATGGCTGTGTCAGCCGCTGCGTGACTGTTTCCCTCCTGTTAAGAGATCAGCCTTGGTGGTGGCTTGCATGGTCCCATTTTTGCATGTAGGACAAAATACCCAAGAGTTTGGAAAGCAGCAAAGCCCGGGGAAAGGAAATAAAGCACTGAAAAGTGATTTTAGGGATGCAGAGAGTTGCATCTGGCATCTTTCTGAACGCTTTAACAGCAAAGGTGAGAGCTGGCTTTGACTGTGGATTGCTCTGTGTGGGCATGAATCACCAGCCAAACAAGGGCAAGACTCTGATAAATTCAGGTCTTGGGGCTCCTCTGGCATTTTGGGTGCTGATTGCCCGTGGAGGAGGTGAGAATTTGTACTGAAAAAGAGCAATTATCCTTCTATGCGCTTACCAAATGCCCATCACTGTGGTATCCTGCCAGGATGGGGGACTGAGGGTTGTCCAGGAGGGAGGGCTGCTACCAGATCCAGCCTTTTTAGTGTCAAATTCTGTCTATTTAAGGGAAAAAGCTGTGAAAAGAGGTGGAAATAGGGCAACTGCACAGACCTTTCCTTCAGGGATGCACTGACTAATGCACATCGCCGTCCACAGCATTTTTAGTGAGATTTCCAGGGAAAAAAGAGCGAAGCCCCATTCCTTCCCATCATAAACTCCTTTCTCATCATAAACTCCCCAAAAGCATGTAGCAGCTGTGTTGTTACACGAAGGGGCTGCTAATTTGCCGCTAATTTGCCATGTAATTACAACGTGCCATGCTTTGATAGGCCTTATAAGATGAAGGGACCGCACAGTCTCCAAAGTGAGCTGAGCTGAGGGGCACATTGGGTCCATCCTGCTCTCCCAAACCCATGGCAGGTTACTGGTGGGCATGCAGCAAGTAACTGGGAGCACTGGTGAGGCTGTGGCACACCAATTTTAGCGGGTGGACCGGTTTTGCTGTGAAAAAGCAGCGTTTGCAGCCTCCTGGGTGGCTCCACAATGTGTGGGTGAGCTTGGGGACAGCAGGGATGGGTTTTAGGGTGCAAAGATGGTCCTGTGGTTTGATTTGGGGGTGATCGTTTGATGCTGGAGGCAATATGGAAGGTGTGCTTCACCCCTCGGTGTTTCGATGAGAGCAGATACACCTCGGGGAGGAGGTAGGTGTGAATAAGACCAGACCAAATATGGTTTAGGGGTGTGAAGCTGCAGTTCTGCCATGCCAAACAGCTGTTTTCAGTTGTACTGGGATTTTGGGGGAAGAAAGGACCAAATGCAGGTGGATTTGCCCCAGAGAAGGAAAAAGGGTCTCTTTCTTTTTTTGCACTATCAGCTGGAGGGGATGATTTGCCTCATTTGACATTAAAATGCCCCCAAAGCTGTGCTCGGATCCAGCCCTGCAGAAGCAAATGGGACCGATCTGTAGCTGATAGAAGCTGTCCCGCAGCCAAAAATTTGCCCTGCATCCCTCTTTATCTTTACCCCACGGCACAGTTCTGCATCTCAGCCCTTTTGTTCCTCTTCCGTGACTAAGCCGTGTTGCTTTTTCCCCCTTCATTGTGTAGTTTATAATCTTCCAAATAGATACAGAGGGAAAAAAAAACCCGGTTTGCTGGCGTGAGGCCATGCTTACATCTCCAGTCAAAATACTGCTGCTTAAACAATAAATATTTATTGATTCTCCTGCGGGCTCCTACATTTTTTCCCAGGTGCGGTGGAATTTGGGGTGGGGGGCACAGGAGATCTCAAAATTTGGTGCTCTGGGTGACCCTGGCAAAGCTGGGTTTGCTGGTGCTATGGCCCTGCACATCCAAATCCCAGTTTTTGGAGGGTTGGTGCCTGTGATTGCTGCAGGTTTTGGGGGTAAATACGTGAAAATGTGCAAATCTGCAAGTTGATTTACCTGCCTGGATACCTCCCTCAACACAGGAGGGGCTCCCACCCGTAGCTTGATGTCAGGTCCAGAAAGGTGGCAAAAAAAAAAGGAAAATAGCCAGGGTGGGTTCGGGTTGTAATTTGGTGAAAAGGCTGAGACTGTAACATTAACAGGCTGCAAATGTTCGCATGCAAAGCCTGAGCGTGTAGAGATGAGGGCTCTGGGTGGCTCCCAGC